TACCCTCTTCATCACTTCTTACCGTGAGGTTGTGAGTTCTGTCTTGAGAGTCCTCTCATCGTGAGGTGTCGTGTGCGCTCAACCTTGAGAGTCGTGATTGTTCACGTGGAGCATCTGGGGGAAGTTGGGCGGAGCTTCTTGAAGGGCCCTGGACGAAGCACTGGGTCACGGTCACCATGCCAACCCATTGGGTGTAGTACACGCATGCTTCGCTGCAAGTCATTGGTTCTGCTGCTTGCGCATGATAGGGGTTAACTCGAGTGTGACAGCCTCTACAGACGCTTACCAGACCGTCTATAAACATTTCTGGCTGGGGACYCGGCTCTGATCTGGCTGTGATCGTCGTCCTGCTGCGACGTAAAATAATTCCCGATGTCACTTGGGGGCGGACGTTAAATTGCCTCTTGATCAGCCAGATCATCCGAGTGGAAGGCTCGTCGGCGTACGAGGGTAAATAAGAGTGTTGTGGCTGCCTTGCTCGACAATAACCCGGGGCACAGGGGTGGGACCGGATTGCACACCTTTAAGACACGCTTGGCTTCTGATGCGAAGAAACGTGACACCGTGACTTTGAGAAGAACAAAGGGAGGGGTAGGTTCCAGGTGATAAGTTCGGGTTTTAATTCCATGCTATGAACAAACCCAGTCAGTCAACATTATTATTATTTTTGATTAGTTAGATGGACAACCATGTGACATCTGACAGACAACATTAGTTTAGAATATTGTTTATTCCTGATGCTTCCTCTGTTTGAGAACTAATCTTACTAAAAATAGTATTGACGGTAGGAATCTGACTTACCTGTTGACCCCAAATGAGGTCTGTTCCAAAATAGCCACCAGTAATTAGTTGGTCTGTGCACTACGCTGCGGTAGGCATCTTGAATGATCTAGTGTAGGCGGTGCACAGTGTTGTAGCCTATGAGCGACAGTGAGGACACCGGAGAGGACGGCCGCAGGATCTTGCGATCAGCTAGAGGCCCGATATCTCACGTGTCCCTAGGACCGGGGGGTGATAGGGAACTGCTCCGCCGACAGCGGGAGAGGCAGCAGCAGAGGAGAGCTAGAGCAGCCGAGGCCAGCAGGGCATTAGCTAGCGAGGCCGGTGCTACAGCAGCCATGGCTACCACAGCCATGAGCACGTCTGCACAATAGACTTCCCCAGCCGGTAGTTCAGGTACCGCCGGGTCTACGGTCGCGCAGACCGTGAGTCAGTCCAC